TGGTGGAGAAATCATCAGTCACCCATGAAGCTGGTTAAAAATTCAGATTTGGGTCAGGTGTGGTGATGCACACCCATAATCCCAGTGACTCTGGAGGCCAGGGCAGGAGGATCACAAGTTCAAGACCAGCAACTTAGCAAGACTCTTAGTAAATTAGTGAGACCCAGCTTGTCTAAAAATATAAAATAAAATAAAAAGTCTAGGGATGTAGTTCAGAGGTAAAGAGCCCCTGGGTAAGTTTTAAATTACCTTTAAATAGAAAACAAAAAAGAAATAGAAAAGATTCAGAATTGGGATCCCCACTGAAGGTCCACTGAATCAGAGTATCTGGGTGGAGGCCACATTTTACAGGTAATTCCTGGAATCCTCTCTTAATAATATGTTATTATGACCTTTGAAACGGTGTCTATCCTGACATAAGTGTTGCCAACCTCTCTGAACAGATTCTTTTGTGTTGAAGGTTGATGTGATCTAATGTGCATGTGCACATTATTCAGTAAAGACTTACCACTGGGTCCTCAGAAAGGAGTGGATGGAGTAGGGGGCGATCATCCACATACAAAATTTAACTACATCTATTTTTATTCTTGTAAATGTTTTGGAAGTCCATCCAGAACCTTTCTAATCTACATCACTGTTGATAAACATAAGCAAAATAGGGTTGATGTGATCTATATTTGGTGAAATTAAAGAAATGGTTTTAGAACGAGTATTTGCCAATCTCATCTAAACGTTGTTTAAGGAAGTTTTATTCGATGTCTTTTGAGGTTTCATGATATCTGATACAAGTTTATATTTTTAAAATTTTATATACTCACGGTATGTTCAACAATTTGCAATTTTTGCCACTCTCCCTAAGTCCTGACTTTGACCTGGACACAAAATCCTGGATAAAATACCAAGGAGCACATTTCTGTTTGCAGTGTTTTCTTGTAGGTGGGACGGCCAGCAGGCAAAGGGGCTTCCTGGGGTGCATTTGGTCCCTGTGGCTGAACGGGATCGCCCTGGACCTGGAGGAAAGAGCCACAGTGACACCAGGAGTGGAGCCAGGGTGTGTGGGACACTGCAGAAGCTACGGACACTTGTGTCACCACGGGGGGAGATGTTGAGAATGGCTCAGAGGGGTGGCTTGCGACTGCTCGGCCTCCGCCTATGAGGGCCCCTTCTGCTTCCACAGTGAGTGAGGCCAGGGATTGGACTTTAGAGAAAGTGGGGGGGGGCTACAGCCTCTGAGGGACACCTCTGGCATCTGACACCGTGAAGCCAGGGTAAGATTTGCCATTATTAGAAATAGAGTCATTTCAGACCCCCATCCCTCTACTGAATTTAGGAGGGTACCAATTTTGAAAACCTGAGACTGTGCAATTGAATATCCATCCTCACCGGATTTCTTCTTTGAAAAATCTCTGTGTTACTCCTGTCTTCTGTTCAAGGCTCCAAATGATCTTCCAAACTCTGCCTTTGGGTTGTTCTGATTTTAAGATCATCCAAACATCATTGTTGTTCATTGCAATGACTTGATGTGATGTAAGGATAAGTTTTAAATTACCTTAAATAGAAAACAAATATATTAACTAGGAGGGGAAATGCATATTTAAACATTAAATACTGACTTGTCATCAATAGCACCAAACAGATGCTATTAGAAATATGTGCAATGAAATAAAAGTAACTATATGATATGGAGTGAATGAATATCAGAATGTTCAATTCATATGCCGAAGCCCTCATCACCAACATTATGAAATGTGGAGATGGGGCCCAGCTTTAGGTCATGAGGTTGTGAGGATGGAGATCCCTCTGCTAATATATACATCCTTATAATAGGAAGAGATCGAGAGGCAGTCATCTGCCAACCACAGAGAGGGCTCGCAGCACATACCACATCTCTGGCACATTGATGATAACCTTCCAAACCTCCAGAAGAGTGAGAAAAGAATAATGATTTGAGCCACCTTGATTCTAGTGTTTTGTTACAGCAGCCCAAGTAGACAAAGACACCATGCTTGAGTGAGAGAAAATATGACAGTTTTAATCAAATATAGAATTACAGTAGATGAAACAAATATTTCTAAAAAAGAAATAAAATAGACATTCTGGCATTATAATGTACAATTATGGAAATGAAAAATTCATAGAGAGACTCAACAATAGATTGGAAACAGCAGAAGAGTCAGCAAACTTCAAGATGGGTCAATAGAAATTATGTATCTTAAACAACAGAATAAATAAAATCCGAACAGATCATCAGACAAGCGTCAGACATCATTAAGCACACCAACATATATGTAATTGAATGTCAGAAGGAAAGTATCAGAAAAAAATTACTTTTCAAATAGTAGTTGAAAATATCCCCTAATTTTTGAAAACCATTAATACAGGGGTAAACACAAGAAAATCCATACCCAGGCACACCTTAACAAAAAATGTTGAAAGCTGAAGTCAAAAAAAAAATATGTTAGAAAACAATAGAGAAAGATGGCTCATTTTTCCTTGGTGTAAAAGCAAACACCAAGATGAACAGCTGATGTTTCATCAGAAACACTGGAAGCCACAAATCAGGGAAATAACACACTCAAAAATGTCAAATAAAACAATTGTCATTCAAGAAAGTTATACCCAGAAAATTGATCTTGCAAAAAAAATGACAGCAAAATGATGGTATTCACAGATTTAAGAGAAAATTGCAAAGAGAAGCTGGGGGAGGGGAGAACTCACCGCTGGCAGGCCTGTCTTAAATAGCAAAGGGTGTTCTTCCTGCTGAAAGGACATAACCCTAGGCAGTAAGACAGTCTATACCTGTGCACTTGGGTGCACTTACACACACCAGCATAAGTTTGTAGGTAGCTATAAAAAAGAGTATAGTGGTATATTTCTTATCCTTACTTTTTTTAAACTGATATAAAAAAGAAATTATATAAAACTATAATGAGAATGAATGTGTGTGTGTGAGTGTGTGTGTGTGTGTGTGTGTGTGTGTTGTTGGCTCTGGAGATGTATATTTGAAAGTAACAGCACAGAGGAGACAAGTGGGAGTAAAGCTGTAAGGGAAGAAGGAAGTGAGACTAGATGGTAACATGGATTTCAGGAACACGAAGAGTTAATGTGAATACATACTTTTTTTCTTTTCTCAGGTGCTTTAAGAGACACAAAATTTATAAAATCCTAATTAGATGAGCACAGAGTTTCTAATTAAAGCAATGGAATATTGGGTTTAGTTTAACAGTAGCTCAAAACAGGTAGAAGTAATAGAACTATAGGGAAGTACCATTTATATATCACACTTGAATTAAATTAGTGTAAATATAAAGCAGATTTTTACAAGATATACATTGTAAGCCCTAGAGTAATCACTGAAGAAAAGAAAATTGAAAATTATTGTGAAGCACAATAAAAAGATCATACATCAAAACTTATTGGGAGGGCTGGGTTTTGGCTCAAGCGGTAGCGCGCTCGCCTGGCATGCATTCGGCCCGGGTTCAATCCTCAGCACAACATACCAACATAGATGTTGTGTCCGCCGAGAACTAAAAAATAAATATTAAAAAAAATTATAAAAAAACCTATTGGGATATACAGTGTAGGATTTCAAGAGTGGTTCAGCATTTCAATATGTGTTATGCAAGATTAACAGAATGAAAGAGGAAAAAGATGTGGCCATCTCAATTGATGCTAAAGAAACATAGAAAAAAAGAAAAACTTTCATGATAATAAAATATTTAATAAACTAGGAATAGAGTAAAACTTTCTCAATATAATAAAGGCCACATTTTGAGAAACCTACAGCCACCATCCTACTCCATGATTAAAGTTTTTTTTTTTTTTGAGATAAGAAGCATGACAGATATGCTAACACTTTTCATAGTACAGGGTGTTCTAGCCAGAGCAATTAAGCAAGAAAAGGAAAAAGGTCATCCAAATTCAAAAGAAAAAAACTGTCTCTATTCTTGGATCATGTTGCTTTAATTACAGAAAACCCTAAAGAATCCAGGAAGGAAAAACTGTTAGAAACAATAAATGAATTTAGCAAAGTTGCAGAATATAAAATTAACATGCAAAATTTGACTCTATTTCTGTACAGTTACAATAAAAAATGTACAAATGCATGAAGTTTTATTACATGATCCAATATGGATCACATTGTACTAAGTGAAATAAACCATAAAGTTGACAAATGTATGATCCCAGTTTTACTAAATATTGATAACAGGCAGATTCATAGACAAGAAGTAAATCAGAGGTTACAAGGGTAGGAGAAGGAAAAGAATGCAGACTTATTGTTTCATGAGTACATGTTTCTCCTTGGGATGAGGAACATTTTTTTTCCCATACGTTTTATTGGTGCATTATAGTTGTACATAATGGTGGGGTTTCTTGTTACATATTTGTACATTCATACAATATAGCAATATAATTTGTCCAGTATCATCCCTCAGTATTTCCC